GGAAGCGAATTTTTCGAAATGTTTTTAATTGAGTTTCATTAAGTTGAAGGGCGAATTGTTGTTTATTTCGCCAAGCTTTCAGTTTCTAAGTCAGAAAATTACCATAGCATCTAATAATTGAAATATATTTTGTGTCTGCCCCAACAGCTTCTTCTTCGCTTACCCAAAATATTGTCTATTAATTGTGTGAAATTCAATTTACTATGCATCATCCTTAGCTTTCAATTGAATTAGCTCTCATCATCTCCGGGCGGTTGACAGCTAAAATCCTTATCGTCAGCTGAAGCAGTCAACAAACAAGTCGGGTATTGTTAGTAACTGCAACTAAAGTTGAAGTGACTGCGATACAAGTTTGCATAAGCCATCAAATTGGATGCAATTGACAGATACTTTCGCCTGATTGACGCCTTAAGTCTCGCTTTTGCTATGCAATCCATTAACCCCCTGGCACATCAATTACAAGCGATTAATTTGCCTAATTGGCTGACGCTTGTGGATCCCGATCTCGATCCCTATTCCTGTTCCCATTCCTATTCCTATTCCCGTTCCTACTCCTATCCCCATTCCAATGGCAGATGACAGAAGCTGGGTGCGGCATACAAAGGGGATAACTAAATGCCGGGCCGCCATTTCCATGTTCTTTCCACATGTCATCATCGGTGGAAATGGCAGCGAGGAATTCATGTTTTGACGTACCCGTGTAAACGTCAAATGCCACAAAGGACCAAGCAGCCACGCCAAAACAAAAGGAGCTGCAGATGGATGCTGTTGCGATGAATAGTGTCGGTGTGTGTCCCGTGTCAGGCAATCCACCAGTCAAAGTCCTGACAGGATCCGTTTCTGACAGCTGGCCTTCTTAAGCCCAGGAGCCGCCTGCCTCCCCAAATCGCATTCCTTTCAATACTGACTCCAAGATTTCATCGCCATTGCCTTAATTAATACCGAGAACATGGAACTTGACAGTTCGCCGAATCGTTGCCAGAATGAGTTCAGCCAGGTGCCTACACTGAGATTCCCTCAAAATTTGGGAATAGAGTATGTCAACAATGTCAAATAGAATGGCAAACAAAAGTCTTAAAAGTTACGGGGCTCTTTTCGTTGTTGTCTAAAACAGCTTTACATAAAACTAAAATGTCATGACTTTAAGCTCTAGATGTATTTAAATGGATTTTGTTACATTATTTTAAGATTATCATTTTTAAAAGTGTTAACATATTAACACAATATTATGTAAATATGCATTTAAATCAATCAATATTTATAATTAATTGAGAGTAAATTAAATGGTAATGGTAATAATTTGAGTCTTTAAGGTAGTTAAATGGATTTTGTTACATTTTTTTAAATATCAATTTATAAAAGTGTTAACATATGAACACAATATTATGTTAATAGTCATTTTAATCAATTGACTTTTGAACTTTTATAATATATAATTGATTGAGAGTAAATTAAATGGTAAAACTTAAGAATCAATAAAAGTAATATAATTTCTTTAAGGTAAGAAAAGTACATTTCTTATATACGTTTCCTGAGAGCCTCACTAAAATCACTGGAACAATCCTTATGCCATTTTTGATTTATTTGACCCAGATCGAGAGCTTTTCGTAAAGGTTCTTCGTACTCCTTGAGGTCTTTCAAATGCACATTAAGTTGCTCCAACTCCTCAGAACTTTGAAGATTTTCCGCCAAACTAAGCAATAGTCCTGTGAGCTCTTTCTTCTTGAATTTTTCACTGTATTATATAATAAAGTTAGTTATGCACAACTTAAATATTGTAAAACTTACCCAAGGGTTTTGGCATGGCTCAAAATATAATTTCCTGTGGGAGTAACCATATGTTCTCGACTCAAGGCTGTTCTCACTGCTATCATAAAACAATCGCTGAAGAGTTTCTCCTCGGATTTAAATGTAAAGTCCAGAAACTGCTCGAAAAGCTTAAAATCACGACTGCAGCCAAAGGCTGATGCCCAAATTCGCCTCTGAGCAGCATTCGTGGAGTTCTGGAAGAGGCCTAATATCGTCAGAAACTCCTTTTCTCCGCCCTCTTCCAGGAGCGAGCAGTAGGCAATCTTTTGGAAATCGATGGGCAGCTCAACCTGGGACCCATTCCGATGGGACGTGGTCAGTATATTAGCCTGATTAATGCAGTCACCAACGTGATAGCGACATGATTGCGAGTAAACGAACTGCAAAAAGGGAATATCCTTGATGGCGGGGTTTGACCGTGCTATCCCTGCTAATTTGGGAAAGCGATTGTACAGCGGTAAAAGCAGCTTTTGCATATAGATCTAGAAACGGGAACAAGGGTTTATATTTAGGCATGCCACTTAAGGTAAACTCACCTTGAAATCTTTTGCCTCCTGACCATGCAACAAAGCACCTAAGCCATTTAAGATGCCAACACCTCGCTGCCAAGGCAAAAGGTCCTGTTCTTTTTTCAGACAGTCCAACAGACTGAAGGCTTTGTCATATTTTTGCAGTTTTACTGAAGCCAACGCCATGAAATCATCTACTAACTGAGCTCTGTTTAGTTTGTGAATGCCACCAGAGTTGGGATCAGTACAATAGCTTTCCCTTATGAGCTCCCAATTGTGTTCATCATAGTTAACTCTAAAAATTGTGCTAACCTGGGGATTAAGAATTATCCATTCATCGGGTGCTGGAACACCAGACAAGTGTACAACTTGCGTAGAAGAAGGACACTCTAACCAAAACTGTGGAGTAGTTTGCTCAAAGTCGGGTAGACTTTGTTTCACAAAACTTAAGGGCACCCACCAGCAGGGTGAGTTCTTTGAAATGTTCTTGCCCTGGTAGAATCTAGTTTGATTGAGGGTTAGTCCGCCCGTCTTGTAGTCCCTAATGAGTGTCACCAAGGGATAGCCCCCCTGAAGGGTCCAAGAATCCATGGTCCTACTCAGATTAAAGTCCAAGTCTGCAGTCTCCTCAAGAGAATCCCATAGATCTCCTTGAGCCACATTTCCCAGGGAGTACTTGCTCAGAAAAGAACGAATGCCACGGAAAAAGGACTCCTCGCCAAGCAGCTTGTGCAACATGCGGACAGTTAATGCTCCCTTCTTGTAAACATACTCCGTGAATTGTCCGAGAATCTGTGAAGGATCCTTTACATCCTTGGAGATGGCCGGCACAGTATCACTTGAGTCCTTGGCAAAAAAAGTCCCCAAATCTTTGGCTATAAATCGCTCGCCTCTGGTCAAATCAGGTTGCAAGATGTCCAAAGCCAAGTAGGCGAAATATGTAGATGGACCTTCCTTCAACCAAAGATCATTCCACCACTTCATAGTGACTAGATTTCCAAACCACTGATGGGCATATTCATGGGCCACCGTTTCGGCGTATTTATCCTTCTGTTGCTGCAGATCAACGCCTTGGTTTTCCGGCAATTTCTCCTCGTTGAAAACGACCATACCCCAATTTTCCATGGCCGAAAACCTATGAGTGGGTACGGTAAGTTGATCGATTTTCCTTAAAGGAAAATTGCTTTGAAAAAGATTCTCATAAAGGGCAAGCAGCTTGGGTGCCATTTGCCTGGAAATCATTTCGCGATCCAATAACTTTGGCTGCATCCAGTTGCGGAAGATTACTCTGTTGAAGGTGTCACTCTCTTCGGTGGCTGCGTTTTCCAGGTCGTGTACAGCATAGGCCACTAAATATGTTGAGGTCCTTAGAAGTTGCTCATGATCACACCAAATATAGTTTTCAAGACTATCGCTGAAACAAAGTATTAGTTGTACTATTAATATACCTATCAAATTATATGAAATAAGTTTAGTTAAATTGAGGAATAAAGGTAGATAGGGACAGTAGGAAACTTGTTCATTGATCCAGTTAGAATTTAATGGTCAGTACTCAAGCACCCAGAGTCTCAATTCCAGACTTATGTATATACTTACTGCTCCTCACATCCAAGTACAGGCATTCCCGTCAGACCTGTGTAGTTTTTATGATGACCTAAAGTCACATTGAATGTGGACTTAAAGGAAGGCTCATCAAAACAGGGAAATGCCTGGCGGGCAAAAGTAGGCGAGAATTGTGTGATTGCTAGACGACTAAAGAGCAGCAAAGTTAGTTTTGAACTTATGAATATTATGAATTAAACATAAAACTCACTGAACATCATTTCTGCTCTCATGCGTGTAGGAACTATTGTAGTAGCCACTCAATGAATCATTTAGTTTGGCACTAAAGTGCATTTCCAATTGGTATAACTGACCCTTTTCCAGTTCCTGACACAAGTGCAGGATATAGAAGTTGTAAACCTCATTTACTTCAATGTCTGTGACGCAGTTGTTGTTCTTGTCGGACCTTACTATCGTTCGATTCTCATCTATCTCTAAGTATGCGGCATGCAAAGTTATATTTTTGGTCGACTCTCGCGCCAGAAGATCGATATTTACAGAGCCCTCGAACCGTTGATCTGTGCTCTCTAAATGAGTGAGGATCCGGAGGTTGTAGTGCAGCGGCTCCAGAGCAGTGGGCAAACGATAATGATCGTACATAGCCGGGATTGAGGGAATCATAAGGAGCAAGAAGGTCCAGCATAATTCATTGAGCTGCGACATGCTGTTCGGGATTTAAATGATCAGAAAGATTCGTGATAAAAGTTATTAGTTTTTAAAGTCACAGAACAGAAATGAGTTAACAACTTATTTATAACTAACAGCAAAACTATTTAAGCTTGAGATCGTACTTGATCATACTGGTGAGAGCCTGGATTGAGAGTGGTTTGGATTATAAACAAGAAGGGATTATAAAGAGCATGTATCTTTATAATCCCCTCTGGCTTAGATTGCAAAAAGAGGGGATTATAAAGAGGGGATTATAAAGAAGGGGATTATAAAGAGGGGATTATAAAGAGGGGATTATAGAGATACATGATCTTTATAATCCCCTCTCAAAGTTGGCTTTAGGAGTTTGAATTCAGGTAGGTCTTGACTCATTCGTTGTAAGTTCATTTAGCTCTGTAGTTTGTCTTCTTGTTTCAACTATGTTTTTGAGGTTTCTACGTGGCTCGAGCCGCACCAAAATTATGTGTATAGCGCAGGGCAGTGTCCATGGACCCAAGACCCTTCAGCCGCCCCACCCCGCAGTACTTCAACCACACCGCGAGCTGAGCCATCTGTCCGGAAGGCGACTCCGCTGGAAACTCGCCGTGATGCAGTTGCTCAGTGGACTGCGGCACCGCTACTGTCTGTGGCGCCTCCGCTGTCTGCTGGGCGGGGCCTTCGACGTGGGCGGATTCCAGGAGGGCACTCGTCAGGCGGCGGCCACCATGATCGAGGCGGTGCACCAAGCGGACTGGCCATGCATCCGGAGTTGCTGCACGAAGCGTGGATCGGCGGACATCTACGGATTGTCGCAGGATCAGCGTCCGTACGGCAGCCTGGTGCGTTTTCAAAGGGAACATCTGCGACACGCCCTTCCCGTGAGAGTGGTGCGTCGCTGGATCGATGGACGTTCCTATGTCCTCGTGGACATGCTCTTCGTCGGGCTGCGCAATCTACTGGACCTGGGGACTGCCCAGGAAAAGGAGGAAATGGTGCAGCGCATTCAGACCGTGCTGGCGGACTCGCAGATCCAAGAGCAGTTCGATCCCAAACACTGCCGCCTGGTCATAGCCGAACTAGTGCTCACCTTCTGCAAGGAGCTTGGCGAATCCGAGGTCGATTTACGGAATTCAGCTGATGAGCGTGAAGATGGCTGGCTGGTGGACTCCTACGAACTGCACCGCTTCAAACTGATCAGCTTCAGTCCGAAAACTCTGAGTTTTCGCGTTATCGAGTTCCCGAAACCGGTTTAGCCGAAGTCACCCAAAATGTCTCTGTTTTGAAGGTGTTTTTGTTGAAGCACTCAAAGTAATTGCAGTCACGTGCCGTTCCACTGGTTCAACGTTCGCTCAAACCAAATTAGCATTTTATTTAACCGACTTTGCCAGCGATCATCGCGCGACTCTGGTCTGTAATGAAGTGATCGGCTTTGAGTGTTACCTGATATATATATGACATTGCTTGGCGAGGTGTGTTAAGAAGCCAGCTATCACTGTTGTTTTTCGATATATGTGTTAACAAATTAACTACGTGCTTTATAATTTTTTTGTGGTAATAAACTACTGGTACTATCTGAAATGAAAATGAAATCTTTGTTATGTACACAAGTAGGAAAATTAACTATTAAGCTTTGACATAGTTATTTAAAAACAAGGTTGTATACCGTACTTAAATGTCGAAAATGTAATGCAAATTTAATTTCAGAAATCTGTTTCTGGGATTGTTTTATAAAGAAACTAAAGTAAATAACACAAGAAATAACCTTTTTATAAGCGACTAAAAGCTTAAGATAGATTGAAGAAAACTGTCCGAAGAAAGCTGTTACAAATAAATGCTCAGTGTTCTTAAAGCCAAACGGATGATGAATTATATATCCTTTAGTCAGCGTTTTAATTTTAAATAAAATGTGACCCAGAAAACAGTCAGGTTTTAGGTGGCGCCCTCTGCCGCACTAAAGAGGCACCACTACAAGCTAAGTGCAAACATCACGTCGTGTTTTCAAATATTCAAAAAGGAACATTTATACGGACTTTACATACTTTTCAACGAATTCAATATACCCTTAAGTCAGCGGGTAACTGGTATAATTGCTCTACGAGTAATGGGTTGTGGTAAACAACTGTTAGCCGGAACTTTCTATTAGCTTCGTTTAATTAATGTTGATCTCGGAGAATTGAAACAGAAGTCCAATCTTTGCGAGAACACAGAACAAAAGGGATTCCTTTCAATTTAAGCCGTAGAGTAGGGATAATTTGTCAAGCTGCGCCCGTGTCCTTAACCCATGTACGCACATTTACACTTCAGACGCTGCTGCAAGAGCAAACTATTTGTGCCCGTAGTCCTGGCATGTGAAATGGGCTGGCGGATGGGAAATCACGGCGTGTCGCTTTCGAATGGAACATAAAAAATTGAGGGCTTAATTAAAAAGCAAAAATGTGCTGCGATTTTCCGCTTTTTTAACGCCAGCAGCAGCAACTTCGGCAGTCGTGGCCCGGACCCCTATTTATATCCGGACCCGTACTCGTGGCTCAAAAAAAGAACATTTGGCAGGGCCAGGAACCAAAAAAACGACTAAAGAGCAACACTGCAAGCGCAAAAACTACTTGCTGGCTACTTTTTATGTGCCCCATGTTCCTTGGAAGCAGAAGAAACGGTGGCAGCAGTTCCATTTGAAATTTTCCGGGCCTCATGTGTCTTTTTATTTCAGCTCCCCTTCCCCTTACTGCTCCTGCTGTGCGCCTTTTCTTCACTTACAAATTAAGCTCTTTCATTGCTTTTCCTTTTTCCTTTTCTTTTTCTTTTTGTTTTTCTTTTATTTTTTTGCAGGCCAAGACCATGACTTTTGTTGTTAATTAAAGTTACGGCTAAAAACGTGAAACTCTCAAGTGCTCATTAAAATTGAAATGCGACTGCAGGAACAAAACCTAGACCGAATGTGTGCCAAGTAATGATGTTCCAGCCAGGACCAAATGGGATTCCAAAGGAAAGTTTCTATGTTTTTCTTGTTCTTTTTTTCCAGTCGAAAATTTTGAGAAAGTTTACCTCAGTTTGTATTTTATTTGATTGAATTTGGTAGCTGGGAATGGAGAAAAATGTATGTTTATGTTGAAGGTTACAACAATTTTACAGGGACCAAATTTATTCCTTGTTTGAGACTTTTTATGCACAAAGCTTACAAAAATGAGAAAAATAAAAATCTATTTAATATTTATAAACGAAATAGTGTAATGTCCAAAAAGTCTTTGAAAAATAAATATTTGTATGAGAAACAACTCAATTTAATGGTGTGGTATATATACAATATAATTTATCAAAATCTTTACATATTATTTAAAAACCAGGATTACCAGACTTTCACTTTCGCGTCTATTCACTTTAACATTATCGCGACACCATAAACAAGCTAGCATAAGTATATATATATTATAAATATTTTAAGCTTTTAAAAATATATTTTTAACAGAAAAATGTAATAAAATTTCCTTTAAAGCAATCTGTACAAATCATTACTTTTATCTTCCAGTTCCTGGACTATGTATATACAAACTCGCAGTGGTCTCCATCCGAAATCAGGGCAATTGCAGTGCTTTAAAGTGCTCCTTGGCAGGCCACATAAATAAATGTTTGCACATTTACTTTACAAGGCTTCCCCTGCTTTCGGTTTGTGTTCCAGGATTGCGGGTGTTGTGTTCGCTTTGCTGCTCCCAGCACGTTCATAACTCAACTCCTGCTCCAAGGATGCGATTGTGGGAGGATGTGCCGGAGGTGTTGCTTCCCAGACGCTTTATTTACTCGCAATTCGAAGCCGGCTCCATTGCAATCTCGATACTTTTGAACGCGTCTCCGCCCCGCATTGTTTCTTTCCGTTCCGCTGGCGATTCTCCGGGGAGAGATTGCCATAACTTTGTATAGTGTAATGGCAATGCAATTGGATAAATTTGGCAGCACGATGAACTGCACCCATCACGGGGATCGAGGGTAGTTGGTGGAGCTACGATTGCAAGTCAAAGCTCCGGCTCAAGTCAATTTGGCCAAGTCTCACAGGCGGTCAAAATATCAGGATGATGCAGTGGGCTAACTGAATGGAATCGCTGCAATCACGTCCCCAATGGGCATATTAGTAGCTGCCGGAGAGCGGATGGATTAGGATGAGCTGGGAGGGGGAGGTAACTAACTGCAATCTAATTCTGAGTCGGGGTGGTGGACATTTATCGGTATGGTTTTTTAAAAGAGTAACAATCAGTATAAGAGGGCATTGCGCTTTTGGCACCAAGTTCAACGATAACATGATGTCAAATAAATTCTAAGCAAAAACAAAACTCATTCAAAATGTAATTAATTTCTTAAAAATTTAAGACAAATAAAAATATATACAGAAAAGTTAGACCGGAGATTTTGAAAATAAATTTTGCCAAAAGTATTTATTAATAAAAATTTATAGTATATACTTCTGCATCATATAATGTAAAATGTAGAATATAAAAAAAAAATTTAATAAAGAAAATTTAATAACGAAGATACACGTTAAAGCTAACTGAACTTGTTGTTCTATAGCCCTCGTCCAAGAGCGGAACGATCGAGCCATAGAGTGTTTGAAGTGATAGTCTATACCTTACTTTCGGGCTTATGCAACTATAGGGTTATAAGCTGAGCCGACAATGGCCCAAGTGCGAGGAGGCTCTGGCTCCATTTTCCGGGCAGTTAGCAGAATGTCACGTAGCGAATGCGACAGCGTGGTCAACATAATGAATGGGGCGGCCACCCGCTCCACCCCTCGCACACCACCCATCCCCCGCACTCCACACCCGAGGGACAAAGAGTCCAGGATGCTGCAGGTACAGACTGGGAGTCCTTTTCTTAGGAATAGTGTTGCGAACTTTTCAGTTCAAGATTAATATTTTCCAAACCAAATATATATTCCCATCTGGTACTGGATATTTATTTATTTAAATATTTAAAATATTTGAAATAGTTATTATTTATAACATCAAAAATAAAACTTTATAATGGAAACTAGTAAGAAATATCAAAATCTGATTTTTAAAATAAATTTATTTAAATACATTTTGGCAAGTTTATCAAAAGTTGTAAATTTGGAAATGAACTGTATTTACTTATTTAAGTAAATAAAATAAAGTTATTTTTTTAAATTTATTAAAAAAAAATTATTAATATTTCGAAATAGTTTTTGTAATAATCCTAATAGTTTAACAAACTTCAAACCCCCTAGGAATAGTAAAGAATTTATTAGTAATAGATGGAAAAAATTGATATTTATGAAAAAAACAATTTTACTTTATTTAAGGCTTCGTAAGATAACATACACTTTTTTTTACATTTGTTTTTTACATGTTAAATGTAAGGAATGTCAAAATGTCAATCAAATATCATGTCAAAGTGTAATGTAATTATCCTAAAATTGTTTTTTGACTCACACAGCTCATTTTGTTGAAGTCAATAATTAAAAAAAATTGTGTTTAACCATCCACAATTCTTTGCTCTCGTATTTAAAAAAAATCGTTTAACTGTTAAATATCAACAACAAAAAACCTTCTTGTTCAAAATTAAGTTTTTTTTTTCATAATGTAATTGAACAAATAATCAGGAATTAAATACATTGTTTTTTTTTTTTTTTTATTCTTACCTATGTTTTTAGCCAAGGTTTTGGCTCTTATCTTACATCGAGGAATAAATTAACTTTTTTGGGGCTGATTAATGGAGTTAAAAAACACTTTTGGATACTTCTTAAGTCCTACCAGCCTTGGAAACATTTTGTGAGCACATCTGCCTGGATCTGCCCATCAGTGGTATCCATTCATGTCTGGTGTCCACTGATTGCTCTGGCGAGCGATTGCAATAACCTTTGCCCATGTCGACCATGTCACGACATCTCCGCTAGGTTTTTGGGCCAAAGGAACCCTCAGACAGTTGGCTCCGAAAAATGTGTCGATGCACGTGACATTTTGGGATGCAATTTGCAATTTGATTTTGTTCTCCGGCGTCGCATGAGTTGGGGTGTCGAAGGGGGGGGTTTAGTCTCGACCCTTTTTGCCAGCAGGTTGCAAGTTGCAGATTCGGTTTGTTGCCTAAGTTCAAGGATCAAATTGATTCCCCCGGATGGCAGCAGCAGCAGCAGCAGCAGCATCAGCAGCAGGTGTGTGCGTCTTTGCATCGTTACACTTGACCAATTCGGATTGCAATTACACACCTGACTGTTTGCCGCCCCACTATACGAACCTGACTTTACGTCTAAGGAGGCGGAAAGGCGGCGGGATATTCTTTGGCGGACAGGTGTGTGTGTGGGCTGGCTGAAATTGCCGAAACAACGATTTTTGTTGCTTTTGACTTGTTTTTCAATCTACTTTCTTTGCTGTCCCCGCCTGCACTACCACACCACAACTTAGTTTGTTTTTTGTTTGCTCTACGCGCTGTGCAATTTGCGGCGATTATTTGTGGTTGGAACGCAGAGTGCCGTGCAATAATCGAAATAGAGAGACAATGAGGAGACACTGGGCTAATTAAAACCTGCTTTGTGGGTGTGGCCTAATCGAGAAATAATGCTGGCCAATGTTTATTCTTTTTATTTATCTTTTGCCAAACAAAAACGTTCTGGAAAATTAACAACTTAATAAAAAGATGAAATATATATATCAATTATTGGGATATACATTTTTGCAGGATGAAAATAATAGATTTACACTCTAGTTATATTGACTGTAAATTAGCTTTCAAGCTTTTATTTAAAATTTGTAAATGAATGTGCATTATATGAATTTATGTTAAAACGCCTTGCTTTTGGAAATTATTTTTGACTGTAAGTAGTGTTACCAATATTTAAAAATTTAAACAAATGTCAAAATTTGCATTTTAGCAAGTAAATAAAATTGGAATTACTTATTATTTCTGTAGCTATAAAATATATTCGTTGCAATTTGTACAGGATAAGTATTTATTTTATTAAAATTGTTGTTTTTTGAATTTAAGTATTTTAAACATCAATTAATTCTTATAGGAATTTAAGTTACCTACTTAAAAATTGAAACTTTGACTACTAAAATTTGCACTCAGTCCATGCAGTTAATAGCACCCTTGTTAACGGATGCGGAGTGTGCCTATTAACTTGATTCTCAACCCCTCTTGAGTTCGGGCCCTCAGCTCACTTGATTGACCTTCTGTGAGTGGCAATTGGTGTTGTATGTCAGTCAGCTGCAATCCTCCGCCCAATTTCCCGTTCCTTCCTGACAATCCTGGGGCTTTCGGCTACCTAATTGGGGCATCGAACCTGGCCCCGAGAAGTTTGTCGGCTGGGTTACATTAGTGTTTCAATCACTGTACATTAGGCACACACACGGCTTCGTGTTGAACCCTCATACTACTCAGTCAACCGCAAGATGAAGAAGTCGGGGGATTTGTAAGGGAACTCCGAAAGGATTCGTATTGCGGTAATTTAAATCCCCTTCTCTCGAAAGCCTCTCCCTGCTGAACAATCGCGACCTGCTGAAGACGCCTTCGGGAAGTCCCATCGTCAACTTCCTGGTGAAGCCGATGAGTGTAGAGATGACCACGGCGGACAAGTTGATAACGAGAGCCAGGCGCCAGCGTTTGATGGACCTCTTCGAGGAGGATCGCGCCTGGGAAGCGGCCGAATTGTCCCGATTTGGATTGAGCTGCATCAAGGCGCCGGATTGCTATCCCTGCTGCACTCGGTTCGAGTGCTCCATGGCTAAGTTTTAGAACACGAAAGTGTCCAAAGGACCCATATGTTTAAATTGATTATGTTTATTTCGGAATTTTCAGCATGAATTAAATCTTTAAAATCATGAAAACATAGAGCAACAACAGTGAGGTTAATTTCATGATGTCTTCAATAGTGGGCTAGCTTTAGAGAATATCACTCAACTTAAATATATGAAAACAACTTTTTTAAATGTTTTAACTTTGCTTCTTGTTTAGTGGCCCTTAGTTTTTAAATCCATGAAATCTATTAAAAAGCAAAAAAAGGGGCAAACTTCAACAATCCGAAGTTTATGTACCCCTCCAGCTAATGCACAAATAAATATTCTATAATACATTTATATTTGATTTCTTTAACCAATCTTCAAAATTCTATATATTTATAAAACAAAAATAAATAAAATATATTTTTCTGAAGGATTTAAAAGTTGCAAAATATATATCTTAAATATCGACAATGTCCAAGTTTATAGTTAAAAATTTTAATCAATAATTCTGCAGTTAATTAAATTTTTGAATTGTGGTTAGGAAAACCAAGACTTTTTTTCATTCGTACTCTTTTAAATTTAAATATTTAATATATTTTTCCGATTTGAATAAAATTAAAAGCGTAGTTCTGATTCATTAAGCCATTGCCACTGCCATCTAATAGAAATAAAAAAAAATGCAAAATAGAAAGGCTAGAATATTTTTTGAAAATTAAGTATTCCTTAAGATTTTACTTTATTATTACTATTATAAATAGATGTCGTAGAATGTGTTTGAAATGTTCCCATTAAGCAGGACATGTCCAATATCCAAAAGTTAAATGAGCATACTATTATTTTCTGTACGAAGCGAATTGGTGTCTAATCGAATATAAAATATTTTTGTATCATATAATTTGATATTATGTAAATGTTATATTAAGGCAGATACAAAAAAAAATGAGATATAACAGAGCATAAAATAACAAAGTAAAAAAAATGTAATCTTATTTTGTGTCTATTTGTATTGCTCATATTCTTCACGGTTCTAAAAAAAAAACACCTTTTTCCTGGCCGGCTTTGTTATAAATTGATTTGGCATGCTTTGTGTGCGGCCATTAATCTATTTCCCCGGCAGCGTGCCACGCCCCCATCTGGATTTGTTGTTCATTGTTTAATGAATGGCAGGCAAATTTCAACGCTTTTGTTTCAAGATAAAACCCTTTTTGGGCGGATCGTGTTTTTTCGAGGCGATTTCCCTATCATTTTTTGTGGGTAGCAAAACACAACTGATTATGGCGGCAGGCCTAGCGCAATAAAAGCGCCACTTGCTCGGATTAATTGAAAGCCAAGAGCGAAAGGCAGGCTTTTGCTCGCTTCAGTTTGGTTGAGGTTTTGGTTTTGGTTAGGGTTTTGGTTACGGTTTTGGGTGGGGCTGAGGTTCTTTTTTTTGGATTATCCTGCGACCGCTCCTCCATCATCATTTGTCATTGTCAGCTAACGGAGTGTGATGGCCCGCTCCATTTTGCACTAGATGAGATAAGGGCCAGCGCGGAAGAGGTCCTCTTCCTCGCCCCGATTTCGCTCAGTGCACTCGGCTGCACTTCCCGCCTGACTTTTGAGCGTGATTTTCTTTTCCTTGTGCATTCAGCGATGCGCTAATCAAATTATAAATCGTGCCCATTGGAAAGTCGTTCGATGCAGGGTCCATGACAGTCGACATTGTCATCATCAGCACGGGCAATCATAACTCGCACAAAGGGAAAGCCATCCTGCCTCCCTGCCTCCCTGCCTGCCTGCTCCTCCACTTTTCTCCACTTTTCCACCATTTTTTCAGCTCCTATTTGAGGTGCTGTGGGTCCATTATGGATGCCGGGGCAGCTGCAACTGGGTCGCAGGTCCATTTGCACTCTTCGCCCATAAAACTCTTTTTTATCAAATATTAATACCCCTCACGGGTATTTATTTGAAAAGGAATGCTGTTAATACATTCAATTTGTCATTCAGCAGTGAAGGTATTTTTTAAGTGCTTCTTACATTTGAAGACATTCGATTTTAAAAAGGACGGAAAACCCTTTTGTTTTTTTGGCGTCACAAAACTGACATTTTTATTTAATTTGTCATTTTTACACAAGTTTCAATTTTCGTCAAAACCAAGGTTTCTTTGATTTCTTTTCCAATCAAAGAAAACTTTTCAACGGAAAATAAATTTATATATTCAAAAAAAAGACAAGTTGATAGCATATATGTAGCTTTTATGAGTCAGATCACAAAAATCATAATTAAGTAAGGCCAAGACATTGTCATTGAATTTTATTTTATTTCTATTAATAATATTCACAAGATACAAGCTAAAATTTTAAAATGAACAATAGACGATATTAAATAATGGTTTCAGCCATAATAGGGCACAGAAATCAAAGGCTTTAGGAATGTCAGGACTGGATCATTGCCACAGAAAGAGTTACAGGGTATTTTTAAATACAGTCCATTTCATTCGTCTTTTCTTATTTATGTATGTATGTTTGTATGTACAATGTTTTTCCACGAGTAATTGAGAAGGGCGCCGAGTGGGGGGAGGTGTTGGCCTGGAACATTTCACATGGGGCGCATTAAACAATGGCCATTTCTTTAATTAACAATTTGCATTTGCTGTGTTTGCCCAATTTTTTTCAAAAACCTCTGTGCTGCATTTAATTGCTGTTTACTTTGGGCCGGTGTTGTTTTATGTTCACTTGCAACAAAAGAGCTCCATTTTCGGTAATTCTACTAGGACTGCAAGGTATCGAATCGCGTAAGAGATGACGGACATTCCCCATTCTGATCCCCTTTATAAGCCCCCAAACTGATGGGGTTTTCCTGCAATCCGTTTGGCTTTGTGTGCTCCCTTTTTTTATTTTTTGCTAATGACTCAAAACCCCATCCAATCATGCAAACTGCTTGGAACTTTGTTTGCGGCTTGGCCTACGATTTTCCCCTCCAACCGTAGATAGTAATTTATTTCTTAAAAAGTGAAATCCATTAACACAAATTCTGTGGGCCCACTATCTTTTCACATCCTCCCGTCCTTTCTACATCTGTGTGTCTTCGCCTGACCGTTCACGTGGCTCTTGTGTTCCGGTTTTCCAGCTTTTCCAGCTTTTCCAGTTTTTCCGCCTGCTGCTTGGCTAGAGAAAAATTGCAATCACCTTTGTGATTGTGTTCTTCCTTTCAGCTCTATCGCTCGGCATTCAACAGTTCTCGCTTTGTGCACTAAAAGTATTAAATTTCTTCAAATATTCTCGGAATATGTATGTATGTATGCACTTAAGTATGTGTGTGTGTGTGTGTGTGTTCGTGCAACTCTTGTCCATTTCGTTTGTGGGGGATTCCCCTTCTTTTTTTTTTTTTTTTACTTTGCTCATCGTCCGGCAGCAAGTCGTTTTTAAATGCTTTTCGTTGCGTTTTATGGTTTTATCTTGGCAAACGCATCTCTTTAAAAACATAAATTGGTCCTTTTGATATTTTTCGGTGTTTTTATTAAAACGTACATTTTTTAAATAAACAAAATTCCAGAAATTTAACCGTCAGGGGTATTATGATTTAATCTGTATGCTATGTATGTAGATGTTTCGTACAAACTGATTTTTCAAAAAATTAATAAATACAACAATTTTAAAATTGTAACAGTTTAAATATTGAAATCCAGAGTAGTTTTTTAGTTTAAGAATATAGAACACTTTTTATACAACTTTGTAAAGCTAACAATATAAACTAAATGGAAAAAATTTAAAGAATCACAATTTTTATTAAAGTACACAAATATTTAAAAATAAATATATAAATTTTTATAAATCTTTTAAAATTGGTAATTTACAAAATAGATTAAATATTAAAAAAATTTTTTTTCGAACACATGATCGAGTACTTATGTTCATTTTCTTGAGTTGGTATAAAATCATTTAATACAATTTATTGAAAGGAAAATTATAAAGAATTAGCAGGAGTATTTATTTTCCTTGAAAAAATATAAAAGTTTTTTTAAACCTCATTTGGTTTTTTTGTAACTAACCTACAAAAGTATACATTTTACCTTATTTAGGTTTTTTTTTCTATTATTTTAAGGTTAAGCTATTTTTGGAATTTTTTTTAAATAAAATGTGTTTAATAAGGTAAAAATAATATAGATTTGAATTTTTTTGTGGGCGTAGTTTAATTGAATAAAAATATATGGCTTTAGCAGATTTTGGCATAAAATAGTGTATAAGTTGCTTACCTATGGATAATTTGTATTTTTTATGAAAGAAATCTTTAAATTCTGTTAGAATAAAAATAATACTTAAATTATTTTTTGCGATAAACGTGTTTTTTGACAAAGCCAATTAAATTTCAAATTCAGCACCTTGCTTGGTGAACCTTTCGTTCACCTGCTTGAGACGGTTGCCCAAAACTGATTGAAACTTGAGACAAGTTAAAACAAAAAAGTTCTGAAAATATAACTCGAACAGAAAATAGTGCAATTAGAATAACTGATAACATTCCGATCACCGTATGGACCGTTTTTTCACAAAAAGAAATATTAAACGTAGGACTAATTCACGCTTCTCAATTGATGTACGAGAACCCTTTGTTTATATTAGTCTTTGACTTTAAGTTAAAGCGCAAAATTAAAAAAAAAATTATGCGGGAACAAGCGGCGAATTCAATTTAAAAGCGACTGTAAAAACAGTGTTGTAAAACACGGCTCCACGGCTCCAAATAAGCTTTGACCAAAAAATATCTAGTATTTTTTTTTTTTTTGAATAAATTATAAAATAATTTTAATAATTTTAATAAAATAAACGATGTTCCTTTATTATTCTAGATATATTAATCTGTTATAAGCCATTCAATTTTTTAAGATAGCTGTTTGCGTTTAAAAGTTACAGCCGAATACATTTTTAAAGTATCGTAATTTTATTGCAACTGCAAGATAAGTTAATAGCGCCTCATTATATTTAACATCTTTCTACAACCAGAGAAGAACTCATGTACCAAAAAATGATTTGATTTTAAAAATTGTAGTAAAAAAATTTGTTTTTAACCTTTTTCTTGTAGCTTTTACTCCACCTAGATACGTCGCCAAAACCTTTTACTTAATCTATGTACATATATATTTATATCCAAATAAAACTAATTCCTTGCCCTATATTGTGTGTTCCCTCAAAAGCTAAATATTTCAGACCCTTAGCGAATACCCCAACTGTTAATACTGAATCGCTAGCCGCACTCCTTTATTTTAAGGAGAGAAAAGAAGACAGAAATAGACGGCGTCAGTATACAGTTCTCAGTTCCAAAGAATATTTCAAAGCGATCGGACGCAACTTGAGCACAACTTAAACATTTGCAAACATCTGGAGGGGAAATCTGGTGCGTAAGCAGATACTCAAAAATTGTGCCAAGTTTGCTTTAATTGCATTTTGTTTATTGGTTGAATCGAATGTGTTTTGCAGACCATGAAGTTGTTCCTGTTCTGGTGCGCATTTGGCGTGCTCGCCAATGCTGGATGTGGAGGAGCCTTTCAAGGAACCATCGACATTATTCGGGTGATTCGGGAGCTGACGGAGACCATCCTCAAGTCGTGGGAACTGATTGACAAGCTACCTGCGGTAGCGGAAGTCACAGCGGGGGCGCTGATCTACGCCAATCAACGCCGGATGATAGAGAAAATAGAGGCTGTGAATGGGAATATCCGGGATCTGGAGGAGCAGCAGGCCAGGAACACGGCCCTGACCATCGAGACGCTGCTAAGGGAGATGCAGGATAGGTCACAGCTGCTTCACCGACTCAACCAGCTGAAGGACCTCATCAAGTACATTGATCTCCGCTACGATCAACTGGAGGGCTACGAGCAGCACAAGGATACGCTGGAGCCGATCACACTGGTGAAATTCGCCAAGTGGAACGTGGATCCGGGCTCCAATTCGCTGTCCTGGCTGCTGCAACTGCTCCACGACTATCTCTACTCGGGTGACTCCCTGGCTCCCGACCAGACCCGCACACACTCCCTGCTCTGGGAGCTAAGCGTCAGCTTTGAGACCTCGCCGGAGCAGATGTGCCTGGCCAGGCAGTCCGCCCAGCAGTTCGCCTTTCAGCTCTTCACCAAGGCAGCTTTGACGGAGCTGAAGGGCTACAGCATGATGGAGTTCTGCTGGATGGTGCTGCGCCAGCATGGACGGGGCAACTTCACCGAGGAGCTGCTGCTGATGCGAGAGAGCCACCAGAAACGCATCCAGCATGCCCAGCAGGTGCTCCAGAAAGTGTTGTCCCAAAGCAGCCGCCTGTACTGGCGCTGCGATCCCCGAAAAGATGGCCATGTGGAGGGCAAAACCTATGACCGCGTCACGCGCCTCCTGCAGGGCTACGTGGAGAACGAGATCAACCTGAACCAGGAGCAAAACTGCTGGAGCAAGTGCGGCGACTTCCACGACAGCCGCTCGTTTGGTTGCTATCAGCCGGAGGAGGAGCTCTGTGGCCAGCAGCCCGCCTGCAGAGGCAGGCTCTACAACTGCGACTTCGTCGAGTCGGACATGTCGATCTGCATGTCGCCCAACAGCTCCTCACGGCGCTACGAGCACATAGCATTCAATGATGAGCCCGGAAAGGAGTGCCATTCTAAGGTGAAGCAGGCCTCATCCTGGTCCCGCTGGCTAATCATGCGCTGCCACTACTGCTTCTGCCTGTGCGATGAGTCAGGACCACTGTCCGATCGCTACTTCAACCTGCGCGACTCCCTGTCGCAGTTCGAGCAGAACATGGTAGTGACGGGCGTGCGGTTTGTGAAGGTTAACCGCGTGTTCCACCTGCAACTGCAGCAGGGTGAGCTCCTGCCCCGCGGATCCATCAATGTCAGCTCTCTGGAATGGCAGCCGGTACAAGCGTACAACTTGAGTGACGTGGACATTCGCGATGGCTATGACTTCCATACCCTGAGCGTGGACAGCCGGGCCATTGATCTGGACGAGATTTCGGCCAACTCAACGGACCAAGTGGTGACCGGAGTGCGTTTCCGGATCTTCAACAAACACCTGAACCTGGAGGTGCGCTTCAGTTACTTCAATTTCTCCACCGGTGGTTTGATTGAGCCACAAACCAACAGCTATTGGCTGGGCAACAATAAGTCCCACATGGAGGGGGACCGCAAGAAACTGATTTTAAAGGAGAGCGATCTGCCCACCGCATCGGACTTGCCCTCGCTTCCGCTCTCCAGTGATGACCAGTTCATGGAGTTTGTCAGTTCCAGTCGGCAGAAGGATGCCGCCCAGAACACTTTGCCGTTTGTGGATGTGCAGGAGGTGGTGCCGCATCCGCCAGTTCCGCTCGCCGGATTGGGAATCTACCACAAGGGGCGACCTGGCTACGGAGGCTTCTTTGCCCCCAAGGTGCTAACATTTGATTTGACCAAGATCGTTGGGGACGCACTTACCCAAAAATAATGGAGAAGGATAACTTGCCAAGTGCTTTTTACTTAAACCAATATGTGTGCCAAAAAAGAAAACTTGGAATTAGATATTTAACGTTCCTAAAAAAGAAACGTGAAGAAAAGCAGGTATAATTTAAAACATAATAGTTCTTGATTATTTTCTATCGTACAGTTACATATATACAAATTATAAAAAAGCAATGAGCTTGTAAATCGACTATCAAATTACATTTTGAAGCTTAATTTAGAAATGTTCTTATAATTTAAATGCAGCCTTTTATTTAATCGGGAAGAAATTAGAGCTGTAAACGTTTCACAAAATTAAACACATTGCTTATTTGTTCTTGTTATTACGATACACAAAAACTGTCTCGAATACTTTCAATTATGTAAACAATAATCCGATCAGGTGACGAATACTTATGTTTGTACAAATAGAATCGAAAGACCAAGGTTTTGAGAATTGAACTGTGAACATAATCCAAAAATATACGTTCCCAATTGGCTACCTATTTTAAGTTTCATATAAATATCTACCAAATTCATGTATATCCTAAACGTATTAAGTTTTTGAATATATAATAAATAAAAAAAACCATTTTAAAAACATTCTTGTCCATAACTTTTTGTTTAGACAGAAATAAAGGATTTCCGAAAGACCAAAAAGGTAATCATTTTGATTCAAGTCAAGCAATGTTAAGATGATTCGAATGTAGTTCAATGTTCCCTTAAATGATTCTCAAAACAACTTTTTTTCGTATGACAAGTACACTACACCCTTTGTAACTATAATTCGTAGTTCAAATATACATTTTTCGCGCGCAACATCGTCACACTGCGTAACTGTTATGTGAATTTGGCCGGCGCAACGGTGAGAAATCCCTAGCGCGACACACAAACCGCAGGCGGCTTGATCTCTGTGACATTGAAGTTGTGATTGGAAAACACCACATGTTATCTGGCTTATTGCGACGAGGCCTACAGCGACCACAGCTTATCCAACATCTAAGCGAACAGCTATTCGTCGGCGCACCCGTACTCTGCACCCAAGTCCGTAAGATGGAAGACATTGCACTGGACGCGGCAAAGAAAACTGCGGCCCGCACGGCCGTGGATCAGTGGGTCACTGAGGACACGAAGATTTTGGGCATCGGAAGCGGTTCCACCGTCGTCTATGCTGTCCAGCGGATCGCAGAGCGGGTGTGGAAGGAGGGAGAGCTCACCGACCTCATCTGCGTGCCCTCGTCCTACCAGGCGCACCACTTGATACTCGATTACAACCTCAACTTGGGCGATCTGGACAGGAATCCCAACATTGATGTGGCCATTGACGGGGCGGACGAGGTGGACCGGCGTTTGGTGCTGATCAAGGGCGGCGGCGGCTGTCTGCTCCAGGAGAAGGTGGTGGCCTCCTGCGCCAAGAACTTCATCGTGGTGGCCGACTACACAAAGAACTCCTTGCGCTTGGGCGAACAATGGTGCCGCGGGGTTCCCATCGAGGTGGCTCCCATGGCCTACGTGCCCATCAAGCTCCACATCGAAGCCCTGTTCGGCGGAGAAGCCTCGCTGCGCATGGCCAAGGTCAAGGCGGGACCCATCGTCACGGATAATGGCAACTTCCTGCTGGACTGGAAGTTCATCGCCAACAGGGAGTACGACTGGGACGAGGTCAACCGGGCCATCACCATGATTCCGGGTGTTCTCGAGACGGGACTGTTCGTCAACATGGCCCAAAAGTGCTATTTCGGCATGGCCGATGGCACTGTCAAGGTCCAGAACAAGTAGTTCTAAGGGGTTTCTCAATAAAGTTTGACTAACCATTATGTTTTCTTGAATAAAGTTGGAGGTGCCTTTGTAGCGCTATTTTATGCATTTATCTATACCTATATACTGTTCATATGAGGTGAAGTTGCTAACGACAATAAATAAAGTTGAAGTTCATATTCCAAGATACATATGCTTATGTACTTTTTTAGGGGATCGTCTCTTGCATTTGTAAACATTTCTTAGGTCTTTAGGTTTATTACTATTATATATATATATGGCTGCATTACAGGATTTATTTAGAAAATAAGATAAATCCACACAAAAATGTAATGAATTTAATACTGACATTCAAAAGTCGAAGTCAAAGGCGGCCCCGCTATCTAAAAAATGACTTGGTTTGACTACAATTTTATTTCCTTTGTACCTTACCTTAAAATCTGATGAATCACCATCCTTACGCCTTTTAATTTAACTAAACCAATTGTGAATGTCATTGCGTAAACGTAGTTTATATACGCTTTGTATACTTTTGTCTCGATTTCGGCTACAAAAATAAATAAACAATAAATAGACTACATCTAGAAGGCCTTCTTGGTCCGTCCAGGGAGGATGGCCTCCTTTAGATACTGGAACAGGGAGAGCAGGCCCTGCTTTTTATTCCGCGAGAAGTAATTGCTGACCACGTCCGGACTGCGACGGCTCTGATCACTGACGGTGGTGGGCAGGACACTATCATTGGCACTGAGTGACACGAACAGGGCGAAGGGCACGATCCACATGCAGATGGTGAAGTAAGCCAGCACCTGGGGGAACAAAATTGGATGAGTTTTAATTAAATATTTAAAATTAAGCTGTGTTAACTTAATTCTAATTAGAGAGGTAATAACTTATTATTATTTCAAAAAATGAAATCTCCTTTGCTTTCCTTAGAAATAATTTCCAATAGTATTAAATAAATAACTGATAAAAATTAAAGCCTCTTTCTTAAGACCTATATAATATTAAAAATAAGAAAATAGCTATGTATTAAATAAATATATAAAGTGTAAGAAAAACGACGAATAATGTAATAATAATAAAATAATCCATACTCCGGTCTGTTTACCAAAAACTGTATATCTAAGGTACATACATATGCATTATACATATACATTTGTATTGTATTTATGCATAAGGTATAAATTTCAACCTAATTTAAAAAAAAACACCTGGATAGGGTAATATTTACCTATGTACATACATACTGAATATTTATGCAATAAGTTTTACATATTATTGAACCTTTGGAACCCCTTTGTGGTAGCTCACCTGCGTAAAAGGCACATAAACGCTGGTAAAATACTGAAAGGCCAGGAAGTGATTGATGAGCAGCATGGCCAAGGATCCCAAGAGGGGAAGGGAGAGCAGTCGGACGAAGGGAAATCCTCCCATAATCCCTAGATGGAAACCCTGTGCCACAAATCCGCATATTATCAGGCTCCACGGCAGGTCCTCGAAGAGCATCAGCAGTATGTACACAAAAATTGTAAAGCTGATCAGGAAGAGGATGCACTTCCTCGCCGCCGTGGTGTACTCCTCCGCCAGTTCCGCCAGATAATACAGGCCAGCCACTAAGAAAACAATTGCAGACGTTGCAGTCAGGCCAGCAAATCGCATATGTAGCTAGTACATCTCACCTATGGACAATGTGAGGAATACGATCTGTATACCCAGCGAAATCCAGCCCAGTATGTAGAGGAAAGCCATGATTTGTACTTCAGCCGAAATTGTAAGATATATACGCGATATATACGGCTAATCGGCCGACAAAACAAAACAATCCGATCAGTGTGGCTTCTTCGACAAAGCCAAAAATACCACACTCTTTGTTTGGTATTTTTCACACCCAGACTTTTTCAGCTAAATCGAGAGCAGTCATACTACTTTGTGCGAACAAAATTGAGCGCGCTTTTTTTTACGCAGGAAAAGGGGTTTTTTATATCAGTAAACATAAGGAATGACAGGGAATTCTAACGTACGTTTGATGAGCATGTTTCTGAGTGTTTGTCTGTAATTCAAATTCCATCGGTAAATTGGCGGGCAAAACAAAACAAATAAATTGGCGTGACAGCTAAGAAAATTAGTTTTGCTTGAGTATCTTCAGGCTTTTCCGGCCTGCTGTCAACGGTCACACTACATTTTGCGAAAAGTTCGAGCGCGTGGTATTTTATGCCGCACGCTTCATTTCGCCACTGGGAGAAGGTTTTGGTGTCTAGTTAACCAACTAACTAAGAGTGCGACTAGTGATTGTGCTAGTGCACCCCATCTCGGGTAATCCATTTCGATGTCTGAGGGCAGTGGAAGCGAAAATGCAGCCGGAGCAGCGGCTGCGGCAGAGGTAGAGGCGGCGACGGACGCAGCGGCCGAGGCAGAAGCTGCGACGGAGGCAGCGCTGATGGCAGAGGCGGTGGCAGTGGCTTACCAGAGCGAAGATGAAGAGGAGGCGGCCGCCGAGGAGGACCAGGATGCAGCTGCTGCCGGAGATCAGGAGCAGGAGGAGGAGCCCGCCGAACAGCAAGACGAGGTGGATCCGGAGGCCGAGGAGGAAGCCGATGCAGAGGGCGATGCCATGAGTGTGGAAAACGAAAGCGACACCGGTGGGAATCCGGAGGAAACTGCTGCCGCCGACCGCCGGCAGGCCACCAAAAAGGAGCTCACCCAGATCATCGACAAGTGGGAGCAGCAGCAGACCCAGAATGGCTACGACCCAGTGCCAACTCTGAGAAGGTAAGGGATCAATATAAATATCAACCCAAAATCCCCACTTATCTCTTTTTTTTTGTTTTTAGTCTGGCAGAGATATTTGAGCGGGAAAAGGACGTGTACCGACGCAAGGACCCGGATCCATTGGACTCGCGACATCCATACAGAGCGGATCCCAGCTGCCAGTACGGACTGCTGCTCAAGCTGCTCTTCCGCAGGGACACCTTTATGGGCAAAGTAAGAACAGGGATATTAGAATATATTTTTAACTTGAACTACTACATAACAGCAGGTATATAAGATAAACTAGCCGTTTCTAGCTGATCAAATTAAAGTTATTTGATTTTTTAGGCAATTACTTTCAAAATTGTTTTTAAAATTTTCAAGTTTAGCATGTTAACTTTTTTAAATACTGTATTAATAACTAAAGAACATTAGTTTGTAAACCATATTTAAAATAAGAGGTTTTATTGCAGAGCACTTGTATAAAATAGATACCTTCAAATAATTTTTAATTGGTTCCTGAATAGGATCATACTAAAATTAATTTTTTGCATAAGAAACTCCAATGTTACAAAAAAATTGCAACATTTGTAATATTTCATAAATGATCAATTCAAGTTTCCTTATAAAACCTTTTAAATAAGATAGACTTAGAGTTTGGAGAACAAGTACACATTTAATATACTTGATTTTACCGACTCTTCACGTAAATCTTAAACTAGTTGCTAACTTAATTTGAGAGTTCTTCTGTACAAATTGAAATTAATTGAAATTATGTTTTTGACACCATTAGCTACTCAACGATTACTTGCGAGAGAACTACTTTAGTCGCCAGAACGTCAGCCGAAGTTCTCTGGAGTTGAACATCCTGGCCTGCCGCCTCATCCTGGAGATAATGCCCGGCATGGAGACCTCGGCCGTCTTCCAGACCGCCGAAGGTGACGGAACCATAAACCGCATCTACTCCTGGGCGGAGGACAGCATTGAACCGCTGCAGAGCTATGCCACCGGACTGCTGGCCGAGGCCATGGAAGTGAGCGACATTGCCATCAATTTCCGCGATCAGAACATGCGCTTGGTGCCCAAGATGATCAAGCGCCTGCACATGCTGCTGGCCATCAGCAAGAGCGCCACTCCGGATGCCAACACGTCGCAGCACAACCAGTCGGCCGACAGCAGTGCGGCGGGAATGCTGAGTTGGGTGGCCTGTGCCAGCAATGCCTCGGCTCCCCAGTCGCCGCAGCACAATGGCAGTGGACTGGGTGCCAGTTCGTCGCAGCATGGCGACGCTTCCAACATGTCGATTCTCTTCGAGAACAGCAGGGATGCCTTTCCCGTTTCACGCTACTACAAACGGATGTACATCCCACTGCATCCGCCCACGGTGGACACCAGCCAAATGCTAATCATGCGCTTCCTCACCAGCCTAGGCGAGTATCAGGAGTTCCTGGCCATGGCCTTCGAGAACAATGTGATGCAGCTGATTTTTGGCTACCTAGAGAACTTGGATCGCCGGGACACTTGTTTGGCCTACGAGGTGCTGAAATATCTGGCTTCTCTTCTTTGTCACAAGAAGTTTGCCTTAGAATTCATTTCGCACGGCGGATTGGAGGTCAGTGAATATGAATATACCTAAAATTTTAGTTCTTTAATGTGTAATTTATCTATTTTCGACAGCTGTTGTTGAAGGTGCCACGTCCCAGTTTGGCCACCACGGGTGTGTCCATTGCCATTTACTACCTGGCGTACTGTGAGGACGCCATGGAGCGCATCTGCAGCATGCAGAGACCACTCATTTCGGAGCTGGTGCGCTACGCACTGTGGATCCTGGGTCGATGCCATGATTCCTCCAAGTGCCATGCCACCATGTTCTTCAGCCTGAGCTTTCAGTTTAAGGTCATTTTGGAGGAGTTTGATGCCCAGGATGGCTTAAGAAAGCTCTACAATGTGGTAAGTGTACTCAATATTATGGCAATCTTTAAATATAAAGTTTTAATTTTCGCCTCTTCTCTGGTAGATTTCCGTGCTGAAGATCCTTGATCCAAGCCACAACGACAGCGACAACGACTCGGAGATAAACGAAGATGTGGAGTGTGCCTCGCGGCAAATGGTGCGCCATGTCTGCGTAGCGCTTAAGCGGTACATGGAGGCGCACTTCTTCTACAAGTACAACAGTTTCCTGTGCCAGCACAATGCGGCATCGTCGTCGCCATCGGCGGCACACTTCTTTAGCCAGAATCCCACGGTTGCGGCCAAGCTGACCTTTGACCAGTTGCACGACCAGATTCGCACGCTTCAGGAGCACACCTCCATCCGGGCGCACTGGCAACCGGTGGATCAGCTGATGAAGCTCGGCGGCATCACCATGCTGCTCAGGATAATCGCCTTCAGCTACGATTGGGTGAACAGCGGGCGCTCGGAGACAGTGCGTTCGGCCCTGGACGTGCTCAGTGTATGCTGCATAATCCCACGCGTCTATGTGGTGCTCTGCGAGCGTCTACAGATGCTGGACAAGACGACCACCTCGGGTTTCTGTTCGGTTCTGGGAGCGGCTGCCGGTGAGATCACCTCGGATGCGGAGGTGCTCAAATCGGCACTGGCGGTGCTCTGCCACTGCGTCTGCTCGCCCATCATCCGCAAGGACAGCGGCACCAGCTTGATCAAGTTCGGCAATTCGTCGAGAAAGAACAAGGCGAACCACAAGTACGCCGAGGAGCTGATCGAGCGCGTGTGGGAGTCCGTGTGCTCCAACAACGGCATCGTTGTTCTGCTCTCGCTGATGCAGACCAAAGGACCGATCACGGATGCGGATTGCATCCGAGGCATGGCCTGTCGGGCACTGGCGGGATTGGCGCGTTCGGATCGGGTCAGGCAGATTGTTAGTAAACTGCCGCTCTTCGCCGGCGGACAACTGCAGACTCTGATGCGGGATCCCATACTGCAGGAGAAGCGAGCCGAGCACGTGATCTTCCAGAAGTACGCCCTGGAGCTGCTCGAACGAGTGTCGGGGAAAACGAAGCCGCTGAACAACCCGCTCGATCCGTCGCTCTCCAACATGCACAAAGCGAATGTGATTGCCCAGACGCGCATCCAGTACAACAAGCAGCAGCTGTACCAGCTCATCTTCGAGCACCTGGAGAGCAATGGTCTCTCCCAGACCGCCCAAATGCTGCAGCGCGAGGTGGGACTACCGCTGCAGACGCCCACCACGCGCAGCTTCCATCAGTCTCCCTTCGACTACAAAGCACTGCCCAGTGGGAGTGGCTCGTTGTCCCGAAACCGCCTGCGTAGTCGCATGCAGGATGTGAATGCAGCGATAATGGGCAGCGGCGACCTGAACAGGAGCTTCGGCGAGGACTCGTCGCCAGCTGGCGGAGCAGGCAGCAGCAGCAGCAACGCCGCTCTAGATGGCGTCAGTATACCCAACTTTGGATGTCTAAACACGACACAGACGCCCATTAAAATCCGGAGAACGGACCGGAACTCGGTGAGCCGGTCGATTCAGAAGCAAATGCTGGAACCCGGCGGCATGTCAATGGCCAGTCTGCCGGACGATGGACCATTTCACCCGAAGAGGATCACGCTGAACACCATCGTGACGGAGTACCTAACCAACCAGCACTCGCTGTGCAACAATCCGGTGACCACCTGTCCACAGTTCGATCTGTACGAGCCGCACAAGTGTCCGGATCCCAAGCCCAGTCGTCTGCTGAGCTCCAACTACAACCTGACCAGCAGACATGCGCGCACGCAGGCGGGATTCAATACGGGACGCTTTGACCGTCGCTATGTGCACACGCACTTCTCGCCGTGGCGCAGCATTCGATCGGCGGACTACGAGGATCTGGAGTTCACCTGCTGCGACCTGGTGGGCAAGTACATCATCGTGGGCACCCAGCAGGGCGATGGGCGAGTGTTCAACATGAACGACGGCGTGGAGCAGTTCTTCTCCAACTGCCACAACTTCAGCGTGGATGCCATCAAGGCCAACAGGGCTGGGGATCTGGTGATCACGTCCAGCTTCTGGCGCACACCCACCAGCATTCTGTGGTCCATTGCCGACGATGAGTTCAAGCTGAAGCTGCGTCTTCCCGATGTCACCTACTGTGAATTCAGTCAGACGGCGCAGGATCGCCTCCTGGGCACACAGAACGAGGTACGTATTATTGGGTTATTCGGTTCGATAGAGCTATATCTAATTGCCTTTCATTTGGCTTGCAGTGCGCCACACTCTTCGACATCAACACCGGGTCCAAGGTGGCCTCTTTCACGCCAACCATACCCAATCTCTACACCAAAAACAGAGCCACTCTCTGCCGAACCGATGAGCTGATTTTGTCGGGTGAGCAATTAAGTATCCCGCTTTCTAAACGACAACGGAAGATTACTTTCTTTTGGCACGCCAAGCTTTTAATACCCTTGCTGCCTTCTTAATTCAAAACAGGCTATTTTACTACGTTACTATTATTTTTTTACCAAAATTGTAATAACCTCTGCAAGGGAATACAAGTCATGCTTTAAAAAAATGTGTAGAACTAAAATTTAATTTAAGTACCTTTAATATTTGTTTACCCTTTCAGAGGGTATTATAATTTCAGTCAGTATGTAGTTTGCAACGCAGTGAAGCAGACATTTCCGAGCCTATGAAGTATATATATTCTTGATCAGCATCACTAGGAGAGTCGATCTAGCCATATCAGTCTGTCCATCTGTCTCTACGCAACTTAGTCTCTCAGTTTTAAAGCTATCTGCTATAAAAATGGTTAAATATTTTACAATTACTATTTAAATTTAATCAAAATCGGATGACTATAATATAAAGCTCCCATGGAAAAAATTAAAATGTTACAAAAAAAAAAAATAATTAAAAATGTAACTTTTCCATTTTGTAATATTTTTAAAAAATTCTTTTGACTTATTAATAATTTGACAGTTTAGAATTAGGCTTTTAGTTTTCTTAAAATCGGAAAACGATATCATATAGCTGCCATAGGAACTATCGAGTAATTGAACTGCAAAATAAATCATAATTTTAATGTTTTCAAGAATGTTTAATTTTTTGCAATAGGGAACTTCGGCTTGCCGATGTTTGCTTCCATTCTTGTTTTTAAACATTTGTTTCGTATAAATTTCCTAAGACTATTTGTCGCTGTTGTCTAATGGTTGTTCTAGATATCTTTAGCATGATTTTCAGATTTTATGGCCATTGTAATTGTGTTTTCTTTGTTTCTAGATGGCGTACTCTGGGATGTGCGTTCCGGAAAGGAGATCCACAAGTTCGACAAGTTCAATCAGTGCATATCGGGCGTCTTCCATCCGAACTGTCTAGAGGTAAGGTTGAAATCTTCGTTGGCCTAGGAGAACCATGCTAATCCTGATTACCATTCCGTGAAGATTATTGCCAACACGGAGGTGTGGGACCTGCGCACCTTCCATCTGCTGCAGACTGTGCCGGTGCTGGATCAGCGGAACTGCACCTTCTCGCCGATGCACGTGATATACGGGGCCAGTTTGGGGGCGGACAGGGACCACGACATGGAGACGACCACGTACGACACCAGCTTCAATGTGCTGGACGCCTACGACTACTCGAGCATTGCGACCATTGATGTGAAGCGTAACATCAACGATCTGAGCGTCAGCGCCAACGGCAGCCTGATCGCAGTGGTCGAGGACTACAGCGGCTACGAGTCGAAGCAGGAGACCTACGTGAAGATCTACGCGGTGGGCGTAAAGAAGAGCGAGCGCTCGGAAGAGGTGCGTGCGGTTAAGGAGCTGGCCAGCGAGGTGGCGGACGCAGTTGCGCCGGCGCCGGCAAACGCCAATGATGTTGGCGGTGCTTCGTTGCTTCGCGTCTTTGAGGAGATCCCGGCACGCCCACTGCCGGCGGAGAACGCACCGCCCGCCGCCCCCAACGAGTTTGCGGAGGAGTTGCCCCGCCGGCTAAGTCCCGCCCTGCACGCAAGTCCGAATCTTTCTCGCCAACATGCACCCAACAGCTCAATTGTTGGGGTGCGACGGCGGGCACGTACACTGGGCACTGGCAATGGCAGTAGCTCTGGCTCCGGCTCCGTCTCCGGCAATGGGAATCTCAATATGAATCTGAATCTAAATGGCGGCGTCGGTGGCAGTGGCGGAGTCGGAATCGGGGCTGCCATCGATTTGAGAACCCTCATGCGGCGGATGGATGATATTGAACTAAATATTATGTCTATGCTTGCAGGAAGATGATGAGGAGGTGCCCGAATCTGATGAGGACGGTTCGGATACGGGCTCCGAGAACAGTAAGTTCCATTTAAGCGCAATGAGCTCATTTTCCTTAATAGCCTCACTCCGTAGCGTTTGCTCTAGGTCCGAATTTCATGGGATTCCCGCTGCTGCGCAACCTAAACGGATCGGACAACGATGAGGATGGCGACCTCGAGGAAGACGACGACGACGACGGAGACCTGCTGGACTCCGATGACGATGACATGGACGACAACGACGACGATGACGACGACGACGGGGGGATCAACAATCCCGATGACGCTGGTGACTTTGACGAATTGTTCGAATACTTCTCCAGAAGCAGCTCAGACGGTAACTTGAGATCTCTAGACTCTGTTCGTGTACGACTTGTATTTTCTCCACCCCTAGATTGAGTCCACTCCTCATCCACACCACCAACACTACTGCTCCTCCACCACCGATCCACCACTGCTCCGTCACAGCTCCATTGCTCCATTGTTCTCCCAGTGTCTCTTCTCGTGTCGTTCGATCCTCTTTGTTGTCCTCAGCGCGCACGGAGGGATGAGATCACCAGATCAACAGTCGTCGATAGTTATAGTGATTTAGACCGTAAGCTGTTACATTTAAATTGTTATTTTTGAATTTTGTACAAATCAAATACGAATGCCGCAGGAAAGCATTAATAGCCAGCAAAAGATTACTATTGGGATCGCATGATGAGTACCGACTGTGAGAATCAAATCTGTAAATTGTCCAACAATTTCCTCTGTACAAACATAAATAAGAATTGTATACTTTTGCTATTAAAAAGAAAATAAAAGATCTTGTTAGAATCAAATGTTGACTGTATGCTGTAAAACGCTAGGTAATCCTAGAACCAATATCCAATTTTAGTATAATTTTAAGCGCTACTTTTTAGAACACCCCCCCTACTTTCTTGAAAAAAATTAAATATTTCGTTTTGGAAATTTAAAAATTACATTTGTTTTTGATTTGTCTATGGGAAGCAAATAGACAATTTGTTTTAAAATAATGCAATTTAATTGAAAATTATCTGGATAGTGCATTAAGATATGTTAATAGTTAAAAATCTCAATAAGAAAATAACCTAATCCTAGAACCAATTTTCAATCTTTATCTAATTTAAACAATTGCAGACTTTGGATGTTTAGAAAAGTATTTAGAAAAAAATTAAATATTTCGTTTTGGAAATTTAAAAATTGCATTTGGTTTTGATTTGTTTATGGGAAGCTAATAAATAAAACTACCTTTATTCGTTTTCAAACCATACAATTTAATTGAAAATTATCTGGATAGTGTTAATAGTGAAGAGTCGCAATAAGAAAAGAACTGGAATATTTTTTGTAAAATTTTTTTAAAATTGTAATTTCCAGTTTTTGTTTAAATATTCGTTTTGAAATCATTTAATTTAATTGAAAATTATCTGGATAGTGCATTAGGATATGTAAATAATTTAGAATCGCATTAAGAAAAGAACTGGGATATTTGTAGTAAATTTTTTTTTTTAAATTGTAATATTGTTAACCAAATCGATACACCCTAATATTCATAGCATTGACTAACTGGGGTTACACGTACGGTTTGGAGTTTGAGTCGAATGCTAGCCGTAGTCGTAGCCCGATTATCTTATCGCCCGGTTTGGACTCCAAGTTGGGAAGCGAGTGCCTCCCTCCAGTCGTTACTCACCAACTGGCATTGCGGTGACGTTAATACGGATCGGCTCTCATCGAAAATCGAAGTAAATCTCGGCCGAATCCTTCATCAGTAGATAAATATGGTGATATTCGGGCGTTCGTTAAGGCGTTCGACTGCCTGGCGGTCAAGTTAAATGCGTTCGAATAGGCCGTCGCTCAGCTGTCATTTTAAAATTGCAAATTCAGTTACGACTTGTCCACCGACGTGTGCTAATCGACGGCTCCGGCGCAATTGAATCCAAAAACCACTGGCCACTGGAACTGCGGAAATGTTTATGCAAGCCACTATCATCGGATGCCTGTTCATGCTGGTGCCATTGGGCTTCGCTTTTGAGGAGCACCCGCACTTCTGCATCCAAACGGACCCGCTGCTCCTCTCGGAAATCGATCGCCATGTGGTCAATCCCAGCGAGAGGGATCTGCAGTGCCACATTAGGGCCACCACGCTGACCCAGAAAGAGAAGGTGAATCATTAGCATGGGGGAATACAATGTGTTAAGCTATTCCGCTTACATTTGGGTAAACAATTCTTAACACAAAATATCAACGTTTGTAAACTAAATGGGAACTTATTTATGGCTGCAAGTTTGAATAATTTCCAATATGTATTTATTAATTTTGGGTAAGTGGTTTAGACAACAATTTAATACTTAAGATTGTAAGATATAAATTAATTATGATTTCTAATGATAAATCTAAATCTCTAAACGAAACCTGTGCCAATTACTGATATATATTTTTATTAATTCTGATTTTAATTTCATCGGCATCCGTTCACATTAATCTATAAATAAAATAAGCAGATTAATTAATTGGTTTTCAAATAAAACTTTAAAGTATAATTCAAATAAGCAAATTATTTAATTTGTACTTAAACCGCATTTCTAATATATTTTAATATAATTATGTTGTTTTTTAATTGAAACCATTGTAAATAATTTCTTACTAATTAATTTATGGCTAAATGAGCAATCAAAGATCAACTATAATTCTATTTGGTGAAAAGTGACCTCACTCGGATGAAAATTGCCTGCCTTAAATGGCGACGTCTGTTTCGTGCAAACGAGTTTGTCTCATCGACATCCTTAAGTGAGAACTCCAATGTCAGTGCGAGCCATAAATTATTCGTGTGCCACCTTCGAGTGGCTGATATTCCAAATTGAATTAGCTTGACGATAAAGAAACAGACAAAGTGTCCATCGCAGCTGGGGAAGATAATGCCGGCGGACCTGCGATAAGCCGACGATGGGGGTTATTTACGAACACGGTGCTGGTTTCCCGTCTAAAATTTTTATCTTTCCGCTTGCAGGCAGTCCTCGTGGACACCTTGTGTGCGGACCATGGCTCCACTACGGTCAAGCGGGACAACCATCACTTCCTCCGGCTGCGCAATGGCGAGCTGAGCGGACGGGGTTCCCAGAAGGAGGTGTGCGCCAACGGGGGTGATTCGGTGCTGGCCTGGGTGCCCTACCACACGGTGATCCAGAACTATGCGGCCGAGCTGAATCCCAAGGAGCGGTTGACCTACATTGCCAAGGCCACGAACGTGGAGCGCGAGAAGACGGAGCTGTGCCACTTTCCCCACACGGATTTGGTCAATGCCGTGACCGACAACCTCTTCACCTGCGTGGTGATGATCTTTGGCGACAACTTTGTGAGTTTCTCCACGATGATGGTGCCGTAGGTGCCCTGAAACTGAAATTGAAATTGTAATCATTGCAGTACGGTGTGGAGGACAACATCAATGTGCTGGTGCAGCTGGAGCCGCTGATGTACCAGCTGAGGAACATCACCTACCTGCCGTGGCGCAATGTGTCCAACAGCTACAAAATGCACCTGGGCGACGGTGTGCTCCGCAACCCCAGTGGCGAACGGAAGCCCATCTACGGCAGCCTCAACTACGAGTTTGTGGAGAAGATCCACGTGAACATGAGCAGTGTCTACCAGGACAAGAAGCTGGGCAGGTTGCCTCTGCTCTTAGAGCACCGCGGTTCCGTCCTGGAATTGGACTCCTATGGAGTTGGTGGCCTGGATGTGGCGGAGAAGGCCTATTTCGGACGCAGCATGGATCCCAGGAGCGAGGTGAAGGTCCAGGTGATTGGACAGTGGGTGGACCAGCAGCGGGAGTTTGGAGCCGATATATACGAGTACTACGGGCACGGGTTGAGGCGGTATAGACAAGCTTTGGCCGGAGCCCGGCTCACTTTAGTCCGGATTGACAACACGGAGCCGGTTTTCATGGCCCCGGAGTCGCAGAACCTGGCCAAGGCCACGCTGTTCCGCGATCAGAAGTCTGGCAAACTGAAGGAGCATTCTTCGGGCAACTTCACCGAGTGGGAAAACGCCCAGGAGGAGGATTCCGATGAGGATGAGCCCGGTTTCTACGGCTGGTTTGTGGTGACCTCTCTGCTTTTGGCCCTCGCCGTCGTCGTGGGAATATACCTGGTAGTACGCACCCACAGCAGGAGGAACAAGCAGCGGCAGATGTACGACCTGGCCAACACGAATGTGGCTCCGCCAGCCTAAGCAAACTATGCATTATCCTTAAGTTTTGTAAATCCGAAAAAAAGCTGAGATCAACAGGTGTTTGTACTCCGAAATGTCAGTTTGATTAAACGGGTTGGCAGCCCCACTGCCAAATCCTTAGATTGCGTTTTGATTTTCTGTGTGAAAAGTGAAAAAGGATTTCGCTTGTAAAATGTTTGGTGGAGTGCGAAAAAATTATTAAAGTGGAAAATGTTATACATATATAAAGTGATATCTAATGGAACTACAGTGAGAAATCTTCCACAAGATCCGCGAAAGCAGACAACCAAGTCGGTGGAACTAAACACTAATGGGCTAACAAGAAAAGGTAAGGCTAATAAAAAAAGTTAAGCTTCAAGTTAAAGCGGTAAAACATTATTGAAAATGTAAGGCAATAAGTAGAGTTAAATTAAGACCAAAACATAAACAAATTGATTCGACGACCAGCAACGCGTTATACCCTTTCTCCGTCGCCAAGTTGGCAGCGCCAATTGCAACACGCCTATCATCTCACTCACACACAGAGAAAGACAGAGGCAGAAGTTCGGCGGCTGGCGGAGAAATTCATTCATCTCATCGAGAACTTTATTGATAACGTCGCCAGATAGCTAGTTATTTCATTCGATCCGGGTCCCCGAAAGACCCACTGGTGTGCACTTGTTTTGCTTTCCAAGCCCCGGGGCCCAGTGAGATTTGTCCAGATCACAAATATGTGAGTTTCGAAAGGTTTTTGTGTGACGCGGCCATATTTGAAGAGTTTTGTGTGTTGGATGTGGGGCGAGCTGCGAAAATTACATAAATACAGCGCAGGTAAGCGAAATGTTGTGGTAAATCCCTGATCAAAGGAGCACGCAGTGCGGGAGTAAGCGAATCGAACTCATTAGCCCCATTCAAGACGTGGGATTATGTATTTGTTTCGTTTTTTGGGCCTGAAAATCTGATTTTTCGCTCACACCAACACCAAGATGGTAAATTGTGTATAACACCATAGCTGTCTCTGTCTGGCGCAAGAGCTACCAGACCTGTAAATGGTCCCTGTTAATAGCTGCATCAACCGAACTGTTAACAACAGTTGCATTGAGTTCGAAATTAATTGGCCAATTTTTTGGCGGGCAAATCATAACAAACCCCGTACTCGTGCACCTTGCGGGGATTTCCTCTTAATGGATTAATAAGTGCTCGTGCTCTGAGCTAACCACTTGCCCTTGCAGCCTCCCCTAGTGACACGAAGTAATGGATCGCAAGAAGGTCCTGGAGCTGGACAAAATCTGCCGCCTGTGCATCTCGGAGAGGAAGGAGATGCGCCCCTTGTTCAGCGAGAAGGTGCCCGAGATGCTGATGGACTGCACCAGCGTGCGGGTGGAGCCCACGGAGGGCTGGCCGGACAAGATCTGCGTGCAGTGCGTCCACGCCGTGAGCCGGAATCACGCCTTCAAGACGCTCGTCGAGCGCAGCGACAAGGAGCTGCGCGAGTACATTCGCGGCTTGACCGTCGCCCTGGTGATGGAGGAGCAGCAGGCGGCCAGTGCCAAGCAGCAGCAGCAGCAGCAGCTGGAGCGCAAGCAGCAGCGGCTACTCCAAAAGCAACAGAAGCTCCTCGACGAGCAACTGCAGCAGCAGCAGCAGCAGCAACACCAGATGATCCAGCAGCAACAGCAGCAGACCCCTGCCAAACCCAAGCTGAAGCCGCTGCTCCGGAAGGGATCGCGCCAGCAAAAGCAGCGGCATCTGGAGGCGGCTCCGGCTCCGGCCCCGATCCAACAACCTGCCCCCCAGCCACAGATGCAGCTCCTGCCCGAACCAGCTCCGCCTCCGCCCACGCTGCAGCAACAGATCCAGCAGATCCAACTGCCCACCTTGCAGCCAGCGCCCGCCCAGCTACTGTCCACTGCCGGCACCACCACGACGATACCGCAGCAGATCCTGCTCCCCAACGGCCAGTTGATCACGACGGCCCAGATTGTGGGTCCGCAGCTGGCGCAGATCATCAGCACGACGCAGCAGGCGACGGCCAATGGGCAAGCCCCAGCCGCCCAGTCGCAGTTTATGCCCCAACTCCTGCAGACACCGAATGGACAGACCCTGCAGATTGTCCAGCAGCCCAATGGCACGCAGACGCTGCAGTTGGTCCAGTTGGTACCGCAGCGCAGTCTGGCGCCCACCGGGGTGACGACGGTGACCACCACCACCAATGCCACGGACATGGGCCAGAATGTCGGTGCTTCTCTGGCGGATGCGGACGTGCAGTTGCTGGAGGACGGTTGCGACGTGGAGGACGAAGATCTGGACGAGGTCTACGAACAGCTGGACGGTAAGGGGGATCACAGCTTTGAGACCATTGTCCTGGATGACGACCAGCAGCAGGACTTCCTCAAGGACCACCACGAGCACCACCAGGTGATGATCAACGAGGATCTCACGCAGAGCGAAAGCCAGGAGCACGAGTACTTCGACGATTTGGACCAACAGCAGGCGATGGACGAGGTGGAAGATGAGGACGAGCAACTCAAGCACGAGGAGGACCAAGACACCTTCATAATCGAAGAGATCCAACTGGACGATGACGAAATGCTGGAGGATCCGGATGCCGAGGAGTTAGACCAGGATTGTGAGTACGTCACGGACGACCATGATCCGCATCTATCCGGCGACGTGGACGATGACCTGCAGTATGCCATAATGGAGCCTCCAGATGGCGAGGCCAGTGTGGACATTGACGGGGCCTTCCTCGATTCGGAGCAGACGCATCATCAGCAGCAGCAGCAGCATCAGCAGCAGCAGGAGGAGCTGCAAAGCATATCGCTGGAAAACGCTGTAGTTGAGTTCAGCCAAGCCACTGCGACGACGGACGCCCTGGTGGCCCCCACTCTAAGCGTGAGCTCGGCGAGTCCGACGCCCAAGCGAGCCAAGCGAAGCAGCAACCAGGCTGCCGTCGGCGTAACGCTGGAACCCTGCGACCACCAACCACCCACCGCTGGACCCACGATCAGCAGCAAGCTGGCCGCGGCCAACTCCCGCCAGTTGGTGCAGACGGCCAGCGTGATTGCCGCCGCCGGAGCGGACGACAACTACGAGATAGACGCTAACCTGGTCACGGAATTTATACGGCAGCACACCTCGCCGCTGGGCTCGGGTCGGTACATCTGCCACCTGTGCAGCACCGAGTTCCGGCAGTTCAAGGGCCTGCAGAACCATATGCACTCGCACACCAACTGGATACGGGCCAATTGCAAGAAGCAGCCGCAGTGCGAGATCTGCCTGAAGAGCTTCAAAGGCCCCGGCATGCTGCGCATGCACATGAAGACGCACGACGCGGAGTCCAGCACGCCGGTGTGCACCATCTGCAATCGCACCTTCAAGTCCAAGGCGATCCTGTACAGGCACAGGCAGACGCACCAGCAGCGTGCCTACTGCTGCGGCGTGGCCAACTGCCGCAAGAACTTCTCCTCGGCGGTGAACCTCAAGTGGCATGTCGAACGCAAGCACACGGAGGTGGTGGAGCCGCTCTTCAAGTGCGGCGAGTGTGGTAATCTATACGACAGCGTGGACTCGCTGCAGGTGCATGTCGAGAGCACGGACCACAGTGCGGATGTGCAGATGGGCGGGCAGGACGATACCTTCAGCGGGGCGGTGAGCATCGCGTGCAACGGCACCACCGACATGTCCAACATGATGGCCACCGGCCAGAGCACGGCATTGGGCGGAGGAGCCGGCGACACCCATGCCGTGGTCGTGGGCTCCTCCGGCGAGGTGTACTTCGTGACGCAGGCGTAGCCAGCGGAGTTCGCCGCAGCAGTCGCTCCTGGGGATGCAGAGTGCCTGCTCGGCATCTAGATGACGATGACGATGACGATGACCACTTAGATGTAACATATACATATATACATACATACATATATATATTTTTGTACTACCCCGTCTAGATAACACTAGCAATTAGCAATTAGCACAACCACACAAATATTGCAATCCTAGATTTCTTTCGTAGAACTTGTTTAGTAGGTCCTAAGCGATTCACTCGAATTTTGTAAGCAAATACGAAACCGTAGGTAGGCAGAGCGCGGAACGAGTCCCCCTCACATTCAAACGCTGAGTGTACGAATCCTGCGGGGACTGTGCCAGTTTTTGTTTTTAATTTTATTACCTTACTTACTATTATTATTATTTTGTTTTTTCCCGGGGAATATCAGACTGGCATTTTAGGCTAAACGTATTTTGGCGTTGGGTTTTTCATTGTTGGGCTTTGAAACGTGAATAAGTAAAACTGTTTTAACTGCAAGAAAATAAATTAACAAACCTTCTAAAAAAAAATCCACAACATGATTGTTTTCATAAGTCTCCCTGGTGGGTGGTGGGTCGTTTTTAATTTTAAGCATGTAATCCAATTCGCTGCTCGCCGTTTTGTTGGCTTGTTGTTCAGTTGCGGCGCAAGAAGACCGGAAAAAACAGAACCAAAACAAAATTGATCTAAAGAAAACAACAATCAAGCCAAGGTCTAGTCTATTGATTCCCGATTGCCACGTGTCGGGTTCATTCAGCGATGGAGACCACCTGGATATGTGTTTCCATGTGACACGTTTGTCTTATTTGTATCTAGATAAATGCAATGTTGTACCTAGGTATGTACCTAGGTACACTTTTTTAAAACCTTAAACCTTACTAAGGGGAAACAAATATGAGGCTACCTTTTACCTTACCTAAGTAAAGGTTTTTATTTATTATATATTATTGCTATAATATGTATTTAGGTACTGAAATATATTTATTCAATTTTGTTTTTAAATTTGATTGATACCGCTAAATTTAATTTTGTATTACTTTCCCCAATATGTAAAAATAAATGTAATTTCACTGCAAATTAAAGATAATATAATTTCACCGCAATTCTACAACCATATTTAATTATCAGGGCGTATACACAGTATCACAATTCCTATGCACCTTCGTGAATAACAAAACGTTGAAATTTAAAAAAAAATGGTATTAAAAATGTTTTTAACCTTTTACATTACCTAGATAAATAACAAATTATGTACCTAAAAGGTACCTTACCCAAGTACGTATTACCACAAAAACCTTGTACCTTACCTAGATCCAAAAAACTAGTATCTTTCCCAACA